AACAGAAATTGATTTGGGAATTTGAATGATTGTTTGATAAATTGAAGGATTGATTGATAAACTTACTAAAAACTTATTAGAATGCTTTTGTGAATATTTTTTGACTGTTTTATTGTTTACTTTAATTATTATCTTTACAAATTTAAATTGATTTGGGAATTTTCTTAAAAGGGACTTCCAAACCCTACTACACTGACTTACACACTTTTTAAGTGTGGAAAGTAAATCATTTCAGGTATTAGTCCTGAAAGTGACCACCAGAACTGGAAATCTTGGCACAAACTCTGGTACNATATACAATAATATATAAAGATTGAATTGAAATCGATTTGTGAATTTGATTTAAGATGAAAATTAAAGTAAACAATAAAACAGTCAAACAAGTATTCACAAAGGCATTATAATAAGTTTTTAGTAAGTTTATCAATCAATCCTTCAATTAATCAAACAATCATTCAATCAATTATTCATCCAGCAATTATTCAACTAAGCAGCCAATAAATGATCAATCAAGCAATGCATTGTGGCGGAAGACGATTCAACCTGAAGCCGGATATTCGAACGCGGCAAGCTGCACTCAGATTTCCTGCCACGTCACCCTGGTTTTTGAAACATGATATTCTAAAGTAAATTTGATATAGTTTTTAGTCCAGTTAATAAAGTAGTTATTTAAACTATTAGTTGTTCAACCCGAGCGTAGCTAAAGCATTTCAATTTGTAATTCTGATATTAAAGGGATAGATAAACATGACTTTGTAAACACAGAGACATTTGTACTTACTATACTTATGCTGTCTGCAACAGAAATTTAAGGAAATTAGTTGCGTAGTCATCTATATCTTGTAAGTGGCTTTTAAAACTTGAACCCTTTTCAGGAATATGTCTTAAAATTGATTTCCACTTAAATTTAAACCTTGAATTTTCCATTATAGATATTAATAGGAAATAAATTATAAGAGTAGGTTGTCAACACATTGCAAACACAATTGGGTGTGAAAAATTATTATTTAGTGATTTATATCTTTGAATTTTAAAACTTGAACCCTTTTCAGGAATTAGTCCTAAAAGTGTCTTCCACTTAAGTTAGATCCTTGAATTTTCCATTTTGGATATTTTTAGGAATGTTTAAGATTGTTTCATATCACACATAATGAGAACTGATATACTGGTATTTAATCACTTATAGTTGTTGGAAACTTAGATTTATAAATTCCCAAATATTTAATATTGAGACTATTGGCAATCCACACTTATAATATTTTTCCTAATAACAAATTGAATTACTTTCTGAAATTTGATTTATTGTCACTTTTAATAGTTTTTTTTTCTTCATTTTTTTATGTATACAGAATAAGAATTGGTAATTATTTAATTGTGTTTAAACTTATAACTTTAATAATAGATATGTAAAATTTGTTAATCATGTTATTTTTTTCTTTACTTCTCATCTTTAAAAATTTAAATTGATTTTGGAATTAAAAGGGACTTCCAAACCCTACTACACTGACTTACACATTTTTTTTCTTGAGGTAATGATTTATACAAAAAAAAGATATATTTGTAAATAAATTCTGCTATTAGCCAAATCTTTAAGATTTGTTACCAGTGGCACCACGAGGAGGTTGCAGAATGAAGCTCACCAAAATTTAGGTTGTTTTCCTTTTGTTGGAAGTGCCAAAATTCCAATTACAATCAAAATACTAAAATTACCAAAATTCTTAATTTAAATTCAATACCTATGCAGAACTTTCTGCAGACTCATCACTTTAGGTTTCAGAATCACTCTCATTTTGTTGAGACACTTTTTTAACTTTCATGGGTCTCTTTAATAATGTGTCAAAATTACCACTTAACTTAGTGGGCTTATGCCTAGCATTTATGCATTTTCTTATTGTGTTTCTGCATTGTATTTTTACTCTTGTTGATAAATTTGATGTTGTCCAGCCTTCACTTTTTAATTTTTTACTTTTTTTGCTTTTAAACTCTCATAAACTTGTCTGAAATTTGGATTTACTTGAATTTGCTTTTGAATCATTCTTTCTGTAAAGCTTNTTTGCTTTATCCTCTATTATCTTTGTTGTTGGTTTTCCAGGAACATCCTTAAATGTACTTCTAAGAACATCCTTAAATTCGTCTGAAATGTAAGTTGGTTTTTTAAAAGTTTTTAATTCTTGGTGATTTTCTATTTCTTCAGCAAACATGAAGTTTTGTTTCTCTTGCTGAATGTTTGTACTTGCTAACACTGTTTCATCTTCTGGTTCTGTCATCTGTTCAAGATTATTATGATTTCCCTTTTTACCTTTGACAGTATTTCTTTCCAGTCCTTTGTGATCAATATCTATTACGTCATTAACCAAATCATCTATATTAGCAAAAAACCTAGATTTTTTAGGATACAAAGGATCATTTTTAGTCATCTTGTGACATGATCTAAGATGTCTAAGGAGGGAATCATGTCTAGTTAAAACAGACATGCAATCTTTTATTGCACATGGATACCGAGTGGTAGATGGCTCAACTTGTACCAAATTTTCTTTCTTAAATTTATTGCTACTTCCATGCCATGTCTTTTCCAATGTGTTCAAATTAAATTCATCATTATCTTTTAAAACTTGTGTAGTTTTAAGTGTACTTGAATGGCAAGTTAAAAAATGTTTGTTCTTGTTTTTAATAGAAATAAATTTCAGGCCACACAACAAACAATCATATTGTATTTTTTGTGTTGGATTATTATCATCATCAAAGCTAAAGTCATAGCTTAAGTCATATACACTAACTCTTTTCTCTCTGTCTTTCTCTGCCAGAGGTTGAACATCAAAATCAACAGAAAAAGTTGTGGGAGGCTTTGATTTGGTGTCTGCAACCTTTAATTGATCCTGCCCAAACGTGTTCTTGTTCATCACCTCTCTTTCCTGCCTAATCAGATTTTCCCTTTCCTTTTTCTTGTCATTCTTAATGAATCCGGTACTCTTAATCAAAGTCCTATTTACCCTTTGAGCCAATTCTTTGACATCCCTAACCTTAAATTGAACCTTTCCAAATTTTTTCTTTCTCATCATCACCTCTCTTTCCTGCCTTAGCAGACTTTTATTTCCCCTTTTCCTGTCCTCCTTAACCTTTCTGGGACTCTTCACCAAAGTCCAATACCCCCCTGTAGCCAATTCGTTGATTCCCCCCTGAGCAACCACGGAAACCTCACCAACCTTCTCATCCATATCTTTAGTATTATTAGTTTTCATCAACACTTCATCATAATCCCTTTCTCTTTTCCTGTCCTCCGTAACCTTTCTGGGACTCTTAACCAAAGTCCAATTCCCACCCTGAGCTGACTCTTTGACACCCCCCTGAGCAACCATGGAAACCTCACCAACCTTCTCATCCATATCTTTAGTATTATTAGTTTTCATCAACACTTCATCATCATCTCTTTCTCTTTTCCTGTCCTTCGCAACCTTTCTGGGACTCTTAACCAAAGTCCAATTCCCACCCTGAGCTGACTCTTTGACACCCCCCTGAGCAACCATGGAAACCTCACCAACCTTGTGATTCCTAAATTTAGTATTATTTGTGTTTACAAACACTGGGAATTCTTCATCATATTCTCTATAAAACTGGAGAAATTGGGCTAATTATATACCAGATTATCAGTTCTCATTATTATTCAATAAGTAATTATTCTCTGTTTTATCAAAGAATCATGAAATAATTGTACAAGTTTGGGAACATTTCTAGATTCTGATTGTACACACTGTTTTAAAACAAATTCCAAAAATGTATTTTAGCATCTGGTTGGTGATTATTAAAAAAAATTAAATGAATACTATTACAGATAAAGTCGTGAGCAGGGTTTGTAGCAAACTTGCGATATTATCTTATATTCCCTCCTGAATCTAAATCTTTTCAACAAATAATGCAAAATTTTTAAATTAATCATATATTGTGTCTAGTTAGCCTGGAAAAAAAAATTAGTTGAAAATCTTTGAAAATAAAGGTGTGAGCAAGGTTTGAAGCAAACTTGCGGGTTTTACAGAATTAAATATTATCTTATATTCCCTCCTGAATCTAAATCTTTTCAACAACTAACACAAAATTTTTAAATTATTCATATAATGTGTCTAGTTAGCCTGGGTAAAAAAAATTAGTTGAATATCTTTGAAAATAAAGGTGTGAGCAAGGTTTGAAGCAAACTTGCAGTTGTTTACAGAATTAAATATTCCCTTATATTCCCTCCTGAGTCAAAAGCTTTTCAACATTTAACGCAAAATTTTTAAATTATTCATATAATGTGTCTAGTTAGCCTGGGTAAAAGAAATTAGTTGAATATCTTTGAAAATAAAGTTGTGAGGAAGGTTTGAAGCAAATTTGTGGTTTTTTTACAGAATTAAATATTATCTTATATTCCCTCCTGAATCTAAATCTTTTCAACAACCAATGCAAAATTTTTAAATTATTCATATATTGTGTCTTGTTAGCCTGGGTAAAAGAAATTAGTTGAATATCTTTTAAATATCAAATGTATCAAATGTGTCTTATAGTTGTTGGGAACTTAGATTTGAAAATTCCCAAATCAATTTCAATTTATGGTTCTGATTTTAACAGAAATTGATTTGGGAATTTGATTTAAATATAAGTTCCCTACAACTATTTCCAGATTTTTTCATATCATAAGTAATTATTATTATAAAATCATGTATATCTTATACTTGAATTTTAAAACTTGAACCCTTTTCAGGAATTTGTCCTAAAAGTGACTGTACCAGGGGAATTCTAGTAAATATATACTCCATTACCAGGTAGATTCTAGTAAATATATACCCCTGTACCCGAGGGATTCTAGTAAATCTATAATCCTGTGCCAGGGGGATCCAAGTAAATATATACCCCTGTATATTTAAACTTAAAACTTATACTTATATTATAGAATTGATTTACATTACTAACTAACACTTCTGACATAATTAATATTTAAGTAAAGCCTATAAGTNTTACTATTTTTTGTCTATGCATGCTAAAGAAAATCCGCCGAATTTAGAGTAAAAAATTCCCAATTTATTTTTATTAATCTGAAATGGTGCCCCGACCACAGTTCTCTCATAAGTGAGAGATCGTTTATCTATAAACTTTACACCGTACATTCAACTGGGAGAAGGAATACTAGATTTCTTAATATTCGAAGAGATTTTACGGTCAAATTCCCTCAATCCAGAGTTCCATCTAAGCAAGCTGTCCGAGACATTGTAAAAAAGTTTGATACCTCATCTACTGTTCACAATCTAAACTCTAAGAAAAGCCCAGGGAACACCTATAGTGGGCGACCACGAACAGTGCTTACAAACGCTTCCATCATGGCAGTTTCAAGAATTCTACAAAGAGACAAACTGAAGGTCATGGATGACCCATCTGTAAATACTTGTCGATCAAACATTCTGGGACTCAACAAATCTTCTTTCTCCAGGTATTAAAAATAATTTAAAATAAAAATACCATGAGTTCAAAATAAATAAATAGCAAAAAGTAGTTGAACTAAGTATGGATAGTTAAATTCCCGTTAAGTAATAATTAAAGAAGTATGTATTTTACAAGCTAGCATGATTGCTGCTATGTATTTAATTAGGCCTCTGAAGACATTAGTTTTGGAATTTAAATCTGTCAAAACTTAAAAATTTATCAACTATTGTTAATGACATGAAATTGAAATGTGTAAAAAGAAAATTTCTGTTTGTTGTGATGAGATATAAACACTAAGGAGGAATTTGTTTAGAATTGCTTCAAAAGAATTGGGATTTTATTCTTATAAACCGTCTACTCATCAAATGTTGAAGGTATTGAGAAATCAGAAAACTTCTGTAAATGCTTTAAACAGATTCTATTATAAATTGAAAATAAGTAAACTTAATTATTTAGGCTACAGATTTGGCTCGACGGCGAGAGTTTTGCAATTATGCATCACAGTTAAACAATCAACAAATAGATATGCACGTCTTTTCTGATGAGAAGATCTTTACACTAAACGGAGCCTTTAACAGACAGAATACCAGGTGAGAAACCAGAACCTTTTTTGGTTTTCTTAATACTTAAAAGTCTATTTATTTTACTCTAAACACGCGTCCACGCCCCCTTAAATTTGTTGACTTTTCTAGAATATTAAATAAAAAGATTTTTTGTTATTTTTTTTCATGCATATGGTAGGGTACAGGGCGGTAAAAAAAAGTTCGGTTTGTGTTTAAAAATTTAAAATAGTCAATAACTCTTTTGTGACTAACTAGCTACTGATCTAAAAACTACATTTATGAAAAGTCTTTTAAAAATGGATGTAGTAACATTTGACACACAAAATCAAAACAATAATATTTAAAACTTTTAAAGTTATCAGTCTAATTAAAAGAGAGCGGGAGGAGGAAAACCTGCTCATTTCTATGTAGAAAGAGTTCACAGTAGTCCACAGGTAATAAACATAGCAGTAATCTTATGTTTTCATAAGTAGTAAATTGTTTTCCCTTTAACTCAAATACAACAAACTGACGTAGATACTAAGCATTATTTGATTGACTTAAAAAAAGTATTTAAAAAGGTAATGGTCTACTTTGCTGTTTTCAACTGAGAAATAGTTGGTCTTAGAATCCTGGATGGACAAACCATGACTGGTCATATCTATTACTGGCATCTAAGGTATTATTACAAGATGTAACATTTGAATTTGCATTTGCAGTGATAATCTTTTAGGAACATTTGTATTCCTCAACTGAAGCTGCTAAATGGGGGAAATTTAGATGATATAATCTGGACCCAGGATGGAGCCCCTCCTCATACCACCAATCAGGTAGACTTTTAAATGTATAACAATTGTTTTGGTGTACTTTAAAATTTCTAATGTTAACAACCAAATGTTTAATAAAAAGTTTAATCCAGGTTCTGACATATCTTCATGGCCAATTTGGTGATAATGTAATAAGCCATAGAGCTCTGGGGGCTGGAAGACCATGGCCTGCAAGATCTCCAGATTTTAATCCTCTGGACTACAGTTTATGGGGAATAATAGTTGAACAGGTTTATAAACCAAAACCTAGAACCAAGAACGAGTTGATCCAGAGAATAATTCGTTCTGTAAATGGGTTGGATTCCGTATTATTGAAGAAGGTATGCAGAAATATTAGATCTAGGGCTGTAAACTGTCTTGCTGCAAACGGAGGATATTTTGAGGATAACTAAATAGTTTAACCTGTAAAATTGTGATTTTGAAAAAGCGCGTTATGTTAGAAAGATACAAAGATTTAGATACTAATTGTAAAATAAAATAAAAACATGTAAAATTGTAAACATGTAAATTAATTTTTTATTTCTTGTAAAATTGTTAGTAAATTGTTATTTTTACATAATTATAATATCGCTATTTAGATAATTATAAAATTAAAATTTTTAAATTTATTAACATTTTTTCTTATAAACTGTACGAACTAAATAAAAGATAAATTAATTTTTTCCTCAACAATCAGATAAGAAATGGATTCACCATGTGGATTTACCCCTATTTCGGTACCAATGACGGTATGAGTGCTCCATTGACATAATATGGCCTCCAAAATGACCACTTGGAGGTCANAGTTGTTGGAAACTTATATTTAAATCAAATTCACAAATGGATTTCAATTTAATCTTTATATATTATTGTATATTTTATTAATTAAGAGATTGTTGAAAAACATTTTTGTCTTAAATTCAATACAAATAGTGAAATTTTCAATAAATTATACTGTTCTTGATATTCTATCAGACCATGAAAGTGTGTACTTTAATAGAGAAAGATCCTTATGGAAACTATCTATATTTAAGTAAAGACTATAAGTACCAGTATATTAGTACGAATTATTTGTGATATGAAAAAATCTGGAAATAGTTGTAGGGAACTTATATTTAAATCAAATTCCCAAATCAATTTCTGCTAATATACAATAATATATAAAGATTGAATTGAAATCAATTTGTGAATTTGATTTAAGATGAAAATTAAAGTAAACAATAAAACAGTCAAACAAATATTTACAAAGGCATTCTAATAAGTTTTTAGTAAGTTCATCAATCAATCCTTCAATTAATCAAACAATCATTAAATCAATTATTCATCAAGCAATTAATCAACTAAGCAGCCAATAAATGATCAATCAAGCAATGCATTTCAATTTGTAATTCTGATATTAAAGGAATAGATAAACATGACTTTGTAAACACAGCGACATTTGTACTAACTATACTTATGATGTCTGCAACAGAAATTTAAGGAAATTAGTTTCGTAGTCATCTATATTTTGTAAGTGACTTTTAAAACTTGAACCCTTTTCAGGAATATGTCTTAAAATTGATTTCCACTTAAATTTAAACCTTGAATTTTCCATTATAGATATTAATAGGAAATAAATTATAAGAGTAGGTTGTCAACACATTGCAAACAGAATTGGGTGTGAAAAATTATTATTTAGTGATTTATATCTTTGAATTTTGAATCTTGAACCCTTTTCAGGAATTAGTCCTAAAAGTGTCTTCCACTTAAGTTAGATCCTTGAATTTTCCATTATGGATATTTTTAGGAATGTTTACGATTAGTTAGGAGTGTCAACTTATTACAATAACAATTGGATGTGTTTAAATTATTATTAAATTGTGGCGGAAGACGATCTATTATGAAGAGACTGAAGCCGGATATTGGAACGCGGCAAGACGTACTAGAATTCTGCCACGTCACCTTGATATTTGATACTCAAAAACTTTAACTAAAATTTGTACTTTTACCAGTTAATAAAGTAATT